GGTGGGAAGTTTTAAAAGGCAAAAAAAAAAAAAGCAAGACATACTGTGTCAGCTGCAACCAAAAGTGTTGGATTGGAATCCTTCTCTAGGTTTTCAGTATTTCGAAATTTTGATATGATAGCATCAGCCTGACATGCAATACAATTACATGGAATTAAAACAAGCATTTTCAAAACCAAGGCTTCAATTAAACTATGAGCCAAACCAATTAACTCAACTAGACCAGGAAATAGAACAGCCTAAATGATTTGCCTAAAAATCTGATACACAATCACAACAAGGTATGTAATAGAGCACTTCTACAAATAACATCAACCCCGAAATTGAAGTGACATAAATCACGACGAGATACTCTGAAAGGAATGCATCACGCCTTACATACAGTGACTCATAAATCAAAAACCAATGCCACAGACAAGAGTAAATCACAATGGCATCATCTATAAATGTGCCCTAACCGATTCAATATTCTATACAGCAATTTCAAAGCAGTAAACCACTTCAAGAATATGTTCTGAGATGCATGAATTTGCACAAGTTCTTAGGAAAACAAACCTTGGCCTCTGCAAGAGCCATAACTAAATCTTCGGGCTTTTCTTTCCGGATAGCTTTCTCGTCTATATCTGCAGACTATGTTACAACAATGTGAAAATCCACCAATTTTAAAAACAGTCAATCAACTACACCTCAATCTCAATCTAGTTGGAGTAGCAATATCAATCCTTTGTTATCTATTCAACTAAGAATTGTAAATGGAACAACCGTTGCATGCACCAAACATGACATAGTGTCTTTTATATACAGTTTGTCACTTAACAATATTGTTAATTAGTAAATATCAGGGAGATTTATTTTTGTATCCATTACAAACGTTGTTTAGTTATATGACCTTTTTCATAGGTGATCACTAAAAAGTAACACAAGAGATCAGTAAAACTAACACAGAAGATCTTTGTAGGGACATTTACTTCTATTCAAATATCATTTCCTCTTAAGTATATTTACCTCAATGTCACTTACGGCCAATTAAAATGATTTAGTGCAGGAACTGGTCCAAGTTTAAGTCTTTTTGAATTGTAAATACATCTCACAGAAATAGGAGCATATTTACCCATAGACAAAACAAGCAATAAATGATAATTGGAAATTTACCATGGTTGTGAACTGGTATCCCATGTCGGCTAGAATTTTTCTACGGGCGGTAGAAGATGAACCCAAAATTAGCTGAAAATAAAGGAGTTAAATTGAACATTATATCCAGAAAACAAAATTAGCAAATATGCAAAAGGATTTAAATAATTGAACTGAGAAAGCAGATAAATGAGTTCACCATAAGTAAAATAAGAGTAATTCTCCGTAAAGGAAAGCATTACCTTAAACTGGGGAACATTGGCTTCCATTTTCGCCGGAGACTGAACGACTAGCGAAGGTCCGATTGGAGGGAAATTTCCTGAATGAAGTGTACTGTTGGAAACGGGTATTGAAGCCGTTATAGTACAGTCAATTGCCCTAACCCGTTTACGTTTATTAAATTGACAAATGTCATCCAACTCACCAAAAAAATTAGGAAATAGTACGAATAATCATATAAATATTTTCTCTATTTTATCACTTATCTTCAATTTTCATTAGATTATTCATTACTTCATCAAGAGATTTACGTGCGCAATTATGTTTACCCTTAAAATCGAATAATAATTGAATTTGTAAGTGATTTTAAGGACATGTGAATTAATTTGATTAAATGATAAAATAGATTGCAATTGAAATAAATAATGATAAAGTAAATTCAAACCACATAACAGTTAAAGTATTGGGTGGTCACTTTCGAACTGGATGCACTTCGATTGGTATCAAGACACATTTGAGTAAGAGCTTAAAGAGAAAAATAGTGTATTGCTTTGAAATGCGTGTTACAATATGTTAAACGAATTATCAGACCCCTTTTATATAGTAGGGGAGTCTTACTTTAGTTACAATTCTATAAAAGGTAAAAATCTCTTGATTTGCTGATTGTCGGTTCCTTATTGATACGTGCGACATTCTCACCGTAATATCCGACCGGTCACGGATATTTCGGTCTTCTGTTGGTTACGCTAACAATGTTTACTCGATCTCGTTCGGGGTCAGGGTCGACTACGGGATCACAGACTCAATTTTCTCGAAGACAAACATTTTGACCTCGGGTTCCGGTTCGGTAGGACTTGGAGTCGATCTTCAGCCCCTCATGTTCTGAGCCTGATCTATCACGTCATGGACGAACCCGATTTTGATCGTATACAAATTATTTAAAAGATAACTTAAATTGTATAAATATGTTTACACCAATAACCTCCCGTAATATTTGTGTACCGCGCCAAAAAGCTTTTAGTTGTCTCAAAATAAGTGTTAGGGCTTGACTCAAATTTACTGTAATATTTTGAGAATTTAGATCGATTGGATAACTTTTTATGATACATTTAATCATAAAAGTTGAAAGTTAAAGTTTGAAATTTAAATTACAGATTTTATATAAGCTTCCTACAATATTTTCAACTTGAGCACGCAATACAAAGAAATGTAACAATTAAAATGGTACTCCCTTCGGTTCACAATAAGTGACCAATTTGCTTTTGGCACTCTCATTAAGAAAATACTAAATTCTATACAAAAAAACCTAGTATGACTAAACTACCCTTAATTAAATATTTAATGTGAGGAGTAAGACAACTTTTTAGGGATATGTACATAAGGGTAATTTTGTAAAACAAATTAAATTCTTTCTTGATTATATAAATGATCACTTATTTTGGACCAAAATAAAAAAAAAAACAAATTGATCAGTGAAGCGGAGTAAGTATTATATATGGTCAGATGGGGCTAATTGATGTTTTATTTCATCGTGCTTTACATATGGTATACTTTAATACCACATACTCCTCTATTTATTCTCTATTTCTATCTAGTATTTAATTCAAACGGTGCATCATATTTTAAGGAGCTAATTAAAAATAAAATATACAATATGCTTACAATAACAAAATGCAACAAATGCTTGAATACTTTAGTGCATTTTGATAAATGAAAAGGAACAATCGCTTCCTAACTAAACTTTCTCTAGAATGGTAATCTTTGTCAACTTCAGCCACCTCATAATTTTAGTCAGTTTTTGAAAAATCAAAACTTAAACAAATTAGAAATATGAGTTGGTAAGTGTTTGAATTATCAAAATGTACTTACTTTTCCAAGTTTGAAATGGTCGCACGCTCGAATTAAGGGAAATATTTGAAAATGTCATAAAAGCTTTTTTATAAGTATTACATGCCCGTATTAAGGCAATTTATGATTTTTGGCTTGTTTTAAGCAGCTTTTAACTTATTTTAAGCAATTTTTAATTTTGTCAAATAATACAAAAAGCTAAAAGAAGCTTAAAAGTTGATTTGACCAGCTTAAAAGCCAATAAAACACTCTCTTAAGAGTTTTATGATTCACCCACTGTATTTATAGCAAACATTTATTTCCAATTGTAAATGTTTCAAAGATTAAAAAAAAACTAGCATTTAACAATATTTGTTTTTCAAATACTCCCTCCGTTCACTTTTACTAAAAATAGATTTTCAATTTTACTTGTCAACTTTCACATATTAAGAGAAAAATAATTTATTTTTCCTGTTTTTCCCTTAGCATTAATTACTCATTCCAAATCCATTAAGACTATACACCAATTAATATGAGTAGTATGATAAATTATGCATTTTATTTATTATTTCTTAAGGGTGTGCAAAGTCAACATTGAACAAGTAAAAGTGAACGGAGAGAGGATAATTATATTAAGCATTACTAACCTTCAAATGTTTCTTTTTCTGGAGATGCAAAATTTCTTTCAATAAGCATATAAAATTTAAAAATTGTGTTCAGTTCGAGAAAAAAACAAGTACATAATTTGATAACATAATATTACCTCCTCGATTTTTGAAGGTGCAAGATTTCAAATTAAGAAACTTAAAAACAAAAAATGAATATCAGAATATGTATGTTCAATGTATTATCGTACATGTGTTCGACCGGTCGATAATGAAATTACAATCATACTTCTCTATAACAACATTCATATATAATAATACCTCGCTATAAAAGTCAAGCTTTTTCGGAACAAATTTTTATGTTATGTTATAATATATGTTCTCTATAACCGCACTTCGCTATAACATCCAAAAATATTCGAAACAAACGAGTCTATTATAAAGAGGTTTTACTGTATATCTTATTAAATCCAACATCATAAATGAGAGAATTTGTGGTGACAAAATCTGCATTAAAGACATGTACGAGATACTACATTTTATTTTTCTGTATTTATTTTGAAGGTGATAGATGTATGGTCCCTATGTCCATCGAAGCATCTTGGCTGTCCTTAAAAAAATGGAGTATCACTAATACCAGCCCGACATTGCACAACATGACAAAAGTTAATTTATTCGACAGTACAAGCAATCAATTATTCAAAAAAAAAAAAGGATTCAATCACATAAATCTTTTAGACATGTTTTTTTTGTTCTATCTTAGCCTTTTTTTGTGTGTACAATAAGCCGCTTTATGTTATATTGATTCGATTAATTTAAATTTATGTTTACGTATGACTGCTAAGGAAAAGCGTTTCATACTAAAATTCGTACCCAAGATCCCTAGTTAAGATAAAATTTCATCCATCTAACTACACCAGCTCGAATGTAATGAGTCTAAAATAACTCAAGCGCCTTAACAAGGTAGGTGGAGGTTCGATTTTCCATAAATATGTTTTCCCCGCCCCATATATATAACCAAAAAAATTAAATATCTCGAGTTCAAATTTAAATATTTTTAGACAATAGCCGATTGATTTAATTTTCTTCTCATTTTACATTTTGAATATTTTTAACAGAAAAAATTAGAGGAATTTCTCGGGACAATGACAGAAAGAGACGACTAAAATTGGATGTGGAGTTGTATTATAAGAGCACGGCGTTTTACGTGAAAATAGAGTAAAATGCTCCCATTCGGAATCCTTATGCTAAATTTGCAATTTCCAAAAAGTCAGCTCCACTGCTAGTCCCAATCATTCTAGTTCTAGAGAGAAGAAGAAGAACAAGAGTGAGAGAGGTCTAGAGCCTTTCAAACTCTTTTTTTTTTCTTCTCATTTTTTTCTTAGCACATTTTATCTTCTCTCTCTTTCGCCGCCATGGACGGAGGCGCCGGCGCTCAAGTCAACACCGCCCGTGGCGGCGCTGAACCAGTCGGAGTTCAGATCCAGCAGAGTCGGAGGTTGCCGGATTTCCTTCAGAGTGTAAACTTGAAGTACGTTAAATTAGGTTACCATTACTTGATCTCTAATTTATTGACTCTTTGTTTGATTCCTGTAATGGCTGTGATTTTAATTGAAGCTTCACAAATGAATCCTGATGATATTCGTCACTTATGGCTACATTTGAAGTATAATCTAGTCTCTGTTATTATTTGTTCGGCGGTTTTAGTTTTCGGATCCACGGTTTACATCATGACCCGGCCGCGCCCGGTTTATTTGGTTGATTACTCTTGTTATAAAGCTCCTGATGAACTCAAGGCTCCTTATGAACGGTTCATGCAGCACTCGCGGCTCACCGGTGATTTCGATGAGTCTTCGCTTGAGTTTCAGCGGAAGATTCTAGAACGTTCTGGCCTCGGAGACGAGACCTATGTTCCCGAGGCCATGCATCATCTTCCCCCGCAGCCTTCTATGCAGGCTGCCAGGGGAGAAGCTGAGCAAGTTATGTTTGGTGCACTGGATAATTTGTTTGCTAATACCTCTGTGAAGCCTAAGGATATAGGTGTACTTGTTGTAAATTGTAGTTTGTTCAATCCGACGCCATCGCTTTCGGCTATGATTGTGAACAAGTATAAGTTGAGAGGTAATATAAGGAGTTTTAACCTGGGAGGTATGGGTTGTAGTGCTGGTGTGATTGCGGTTGATCTTGCTAAGGACATGTTGCAAGTGCACAGGAATACCTATGCTGTTGTTGTTAGTACTGAGAATATTACTCAGAATTGGTATTTTGGGAATAAGAAGTCCATGTTGATACCAAATTGTTTGTTTAGAGTCGGGGGTGCAGCTGTTCTGCTGTCTAACAAGTCTGTGGATAGAAGAAGGGCAAAATATAAGCTTGTTCATGTAGTTAGGACACATCGCNATAGAAGAAGAGCAAAATATAAGCTTGTTCATGTTGTTAGGACACATCGTGGGGCTGATGATAAGGCGTTTCGTTGTGTTTACCAAGAACAGGATGATGCTGGGAAAACTGGGGTATCTTTATCGAAAGATCTCATGGCAATCGCTGGTGGAGCACTTAAGACGAATATCACTACCTTGGGTCCTCTTGTTCTACCCATCAGCGAGCAGCTTCTGTTCTTTGCTACTCTGATAATAAAGAAAATATGCAATAAGCATGTGAAGCCTTATATTCCAGATTTCAAGTTGGCCTTTGATCATTTCTGCATACATGCTGGTGGAAGAGCCGTTATTGACGAGCTGGAAAAGAATTTGCAGCTGACGCAGGTTCATGTTGAGGCATCTCGAATGACACTGCACCGCTTTGGAAATACTTCGTCCAGCTCCATCTGGTATGAACTGGCGTATACAGAGGCCAAAGGAAGAATGCGGAAAGGTAACAAAGTTTGGCAGATAGCATTTGGAAGTGGTTTTAAATGTAATAGTGCTGTTTGGCAGGCACTGCGAAATGTAAAGCCTTCTCAAAATGGTCCCTGGGAAGATTGTATTGACAGGTATCCTGTAAAAGTAGTCTCATAACACGGCAGAGATCATGATTATGCAGGTCACGGTTATTAGTAGATGCTTCAATGGCCATGTCCTCTCAAGTTACATGTACTTCATGGCGCCTCTTTGCTTGAAGCTTAGTGATGCTCTGCCTCCAATTTTCCCGTTTACTTTCAATTCATGAATCAAGCATCAGTTTTTCTTTTCTTGGTTAGGGCCTGATGCTAATTAGTGTTGTACCATTTCAACCTTTACTCGTATCTTGATATGTGTAGTGAGTGCTATTCTGATAGTTAGTGAACTTGTTTCAATGAACATTTCTTCATGATTGAATTTGTGAGTAGGCCTTACTTATTTCTCACTGTGAGCCAAATGATTCCATAAGTGGCATCTGATGTTCATCGTTGTTATTTATCTATTTCATAAATTTCATCATCCTCAAGAATTTAGTCCAGTAAGTCCTAAGACGGTGTTCAGTTTATCTTGGCTACCTGGCCTTAGGTGAGACATAAGGTCTGTTATTACGTAGCCGACAAGGATTACAGGACAAGGTTGTGCTGAAGCAACAACAACAACAAACCCAGTGTAATCCCATAAGTAGGGTTTGGGGAGGGTAATGTATGCGCAGACCTTACCCCTACCTTGGTGAAGGTAGAGAGGTTGTTTTCGTAGACCCTCGGTTCAAGTAAGGTTGTGCTGAAGACTTTTCAGTATTGCCTGGTTGTGAAAGTTGTGTTAGCACTACTAGCAAAATGCTTGGGCATAACTAAGGGAGATTGTTCGAATTTGGACTGTCAGTTACTGAGTTTTAGGACTTGGGAACACATTGTATTGAAATATTTGTAAACAATAGTTACATTTTGTTCTGCACATATATGTACAAATTTTTCATTAAATTTTGTTCCCACGGGTTCCTATGTGGAAGCTTCGCCTCTAGGTTTGCTGGTTGTTCATTTGCTGTCTTACTATAGTAAGGCTAGGAACCTAATTTGGATGCAACGATATTGTTTCAATTCCTGCATGTGGAAAGATTCGACAATGAAATTCACTATGCAGGGGACACTTTTATGTGGATGGATTGTAACGATTATTGAAAAGTTTAGATTCCTTGCTTAATGAGGCAGCAGTGACAGAAGTAATTCGTCCACGTTTTCTTTGCATCTTTTGCATAAAAGGGTGTTATTCGTAAGTCACGCCCCTTTACAATTTTAAAGTTAAGTAAATGATTTAAGGTAGGATTATAAAACTAAAAACAAGTTTGTAAAGAGTCACAAAACCAATTGATCCGCATAAAGGCATCTCTTTAGTTATTTTTCGCGAAATTTCTTGGCTGGTGCACTTGATTCGTAGCATGACCATTTGAAGATTATATTTCATATAGCAAATGTTGATACCTTATTTATTTTAAATAAATACCTTTTTAAAAAATTATATTTCATAGCTACCTTTTGATTTTTATAGCTAAATATCTATTTATGGTTACCTCCTACCCTTAAGCCATAAAATATTCTTTGTATTATTTTTCTCTCTCATTCTTTCAAATTTTTCTTCATTCTCTCTCTCAACGCCAGTCTTTCTCCAAGAATACAATCACTATTCTCCACTGATTCATCTTGATTGTCTCGCGAAATTTTCATTGTCAGTGGGTTGGGGCTCTGAATCAATATCGAAATCAAGCCCTAGAGAGAAAGATCCATCACATTCTGATGGTCGTTGACTTGCCACCCTGCTCCATTTGGATGCTAATAAGTTTCACTTTTATAATGAAGAGTATGAAGACGTTGCTTAGCCTATGAAATGTTGGGGAAATTTCTCCTTTTTTTGTTTCTCTTTAGTTTCATGGAATCAACAATCTGGAGGCTATTTTTCTGTCTCAATTGAAGTTTGTAAATTGTAGTTTTATATAAGGAAAAAGTGGCGAAACTGTATCCCCATTTCTTTAAAGTGTTCTCCATCAACGCGAGTAGTACTGCTATTTTCCTTTTCAAACCTGTATTTCCTTTTGAAGACAATCTGCTATTGAAATCATTCACCTCTTCAGTGCTTAGATTTTGATGAGATTTCCACTTCTTTAGAGAAAATGGCTTTACTGATATGTTATCTGCCCATAGATCAATGGCAATGTTGCTGGCCTAGAAACGGACAAGGGAATTGAGCGAAAATAAATATTAGGGTTTGTTCTTGAATAAAGACGACAGAGTTTGGGGCTGAGTAACTTGAATTTTCTGTTAATATATTTCAATGTATCTCGATGTATTTACATGTACTTCATTGTATTTATTGTCTTTTTTTTATTGTATTTCAAAGTACCTCGCTGTATTCCATGTATTTCATTGTATTCACTATCTCGTTGTATTCCATGAATGTATTCATATATTTTTTTAATTAATATAATTTATGTATTCAGATGTATATATGTATTCAAATTGCTATATTTTAGTTGTATTTATCGGTGAGAAAAATATTCAGCATATTTTCTCTGAAGATTTCTATGTTTTTTGGGTGTTTTTCGATTGAGAATCTTTTTTATAACTGGAAATACAAATTTCGTGTGTTATAATTGAGTTTGTTGAGTTATATCAGGAGTCTATTATGTTAATTGATTCACTTTCCGTTTAAAAACAGCTGAATAGACCATGAATTGCGCTATTTACGTTACTGTATTCACAAATATATATCGTGAATATAGTCGAATACAGTCAAATACAATAATCTGTCTAGCTGTAATCCCGTGTTTCACTCTGTGAATACAGTCGAATACAAAAATCTGTCTAGCTGTAATTCTCTGTTTCACGCCTAGAAATGCTACTGTATTCATGAATACAATAGCTTAAATACATCGAATACACTCTAAAAAAAACTGAAAACATAGCTATAGGAAGTAATATAGTAAATGGTCGCTATAACTAGCTAACAACTAATAAAACATAGTGGTTTCTGAAAGCTTCTCATTACTCCCTCCGGTTCACAACAAGTGACCAATTTGCTTTTAGCACGCCCATTAAGAAAATACTAAATTCTATACAAAAATACATACTATGACTAAACTACCCCTAATTAAACATTTAATGTGAGGAGTAAGAACTTTTTAGGAATATGTACATAGGGGTTATTTTGTAAAAACAAATTGAATTCTTTCTTGATTACATAATTAGACATTTATTGTGAACCAAAATGAAAAAACAAATTGGTAACTTATTGTGAACCGGAGGGAGTAACAATTACTCTGTTCCATTTTATGTCACCGGTTCTGAACAACAATTGCTCTTTAGTTTTAAACTTCTACTTTATCCTTAATGACATACTCTTATAGTTATATAAATATTATGACATGATTAAAACCACAAATTTGAATAACATTTTAATACGTGCCAATAATCTTTTCTTTTTTCAAAGGAAATCTCCAGTCAAATACTATCTATAAAATGAATAGATATAATTGCTTTGAGTGGTAAGCAGTCATGCCTCATGTTGATGAACTCATCTCATGGGGTAATGTGATTGCAAATGGTTACAAGCTTGTACTGCACATTGTCTTGCGACAATTGCAAACCGCACATAGATTTTCAGAACTCATAGCCTGCCCCACTTTAATTTCTCTGTCTGGTTATAGAAGAATGTGAAATCCAAAATTGGCTTTCTATATCCTAAAAGGGCAGAAAATTCAGGATGGTGTTTCTCAGCCATTCTTTCTAGAGCCCCCACGCTGACACACCTCCCCTCCCCCCACACCACCGCCAATAACAACAACCCAGTAAAAATTTATAAATGGGGTCTAGGGAGCAGGGGCGTGAGTTCCCGTGAACCCAGTAGCTTTTGCATATACCATGTATATGTATTAAAAAATCTACTAAATATCCATAAATATTTGATTGTGAATCCAATTATTTATTGTATATTTACTTAAGGTTGTTATAGGAACTCATAAACTTTAAATCATTGACCCGCCTCTGTTGGGAGGATACGCATACCTTACCCCGAGGGAGTAGAGAGGTTGTTTCAGGTACACCCTCGGCTCAAAACACACAAAAAATAAAACAAACAAAAAAAGGAGGAAAAGAGAATTCATGGGGCCGCTTCACTTTCAAAAATGTCACAGTTTCACTATTTATTTTTTTGGCTTTTCAATTCTAATGGTTTGGAACAAATGACTATGCTGGTACTGTAGATTGCATTTGGCGCTTATGAATCGAGAAGGACAATTTGGAAAAAGAAAAAAACAACAGCTATCATCATGAAAACTACTTAGTGCACAACGTGGAAAACTCCTGGATTAAAAAGATAGATGAATCTTATTAATCCCACACATCCTTGGTGATAATATGAAAGTATTCACACAGTCTAAGAAAAAGAGTAACATAATTTGAGGACAGTCGAAGCATCTTATTTTTAGTGTGAAATTCTATTATGGAATAAAATTTATACGTATAGAAACCACTAAAACTCACAGATTTTTATTGTTAAAGTATTTTTGTTCTTTTCGGGAAAATCATAGATAATTAGTGGCAGCATCTCATATGGTAAAGAAAAAGCCCCCGGTAAAGAACAATACAAGTTCATGAAACTGCAACCACTAACTTTTTCACATACATATATTAGGACGACAAAAAGGGAGCCTTGACGTAACTGGTAAAATTACTACATGTGACCAGGAGGTCACGGATTCGAGAGCCGTGGAAACAACCTCTTGCAAAAATGCAGGGTAAGAGAAGACAACGTACAATAGACCCTTGTGTTACGGCCCTTCCCCGGACCCCGCACATAGCCGGAGCTTAATGCACCGGGCGTCCCTTTTATACATTAGGATGAAAGCTGATCAGAAAAAAAGTTTGATTACAAAGACACCTAAATTAAAGGATAAAATTTTCCTTTTTGCACATTATTTAAATGGAATGAAATAATCACCCTTGCAATATACAAAAAAATCATACTAGTAAATTACAGCTGCAGAAACAAGCAAACAAGAAATACAACAAAAGAAAACAATTCGTAAAGGGCTGATAAGCTGAAGATGAAATACACACTCTATGAAGCAGCAATGCCACTAACTTTTCCTATACATATCAAAAAATTGAAACTTTTGCACAAAGGAAATAGATATTGTGACAAAAAGAACAAGGAGGAACAAGGGAGTAGAAAGAACAATGACAAAATAAAGATTCTTCATCTGAAGGAAAACTGAATCTCCTCCAGAGTTCTTCCTTTCGTCTCCGGTACCCAAATTGCCACGAACGCCACGGTGAAAGCACACATAACCATGTAAATGGTGAAGGTTCCTGATATAAAATGTACATACATTAAGGGGTGGTTTGGTTGAAGATAAGTTATGTTGGGATTGGTTATGCTGGGATTAGTTATCCT